ACTAATTAGATAATTCAGATATCTTAAAAAAAAAGTTCGCACACTTAAACAGTTACTAATTATTAAACAATTTATTTTATAAGTAGTAATTTGAAAATGTATTATTATTCAAATAAACAATTTTGGTGTAACTATAAAACAAAGTAGGTAAATCATGTTATTTTAGTACTATCTAAATCATTTAAATATAATATTATATAAAATTAATTGATAAATAACAAATAATATTAGTATATTTTGATTAACACAAACATCAAGTAGTTTTTGAGATGAATAATAAAATAACAACTAGGTAAATATTCCTATTTCGTGTATTTCATTTTTGTGACTTTGAAATAAAGTCTCGAAAAGTTTAACCGTATTACACACAAATAGTTTATTACATATTATGTAAATGTTAACTCAATTTGAACTAAATGTAGTTACAATATTATTAACGTTATGATACTTTAATCCTGACCCGTCATTTTACCCAACATATTTATTATTTCACTGCTAACATAATGCGCGGTTATACACGTACATTATAAGTTATAACACATATCAGTAAAGTTGCAGCTGTTTACATGTAAAAGCTATACTGCTGACGTGAGAAAATTATTTTTATCAAAAACACAGAAAATGAAATAACAATAGGTAGGTAAATGCAAACACTCAAAATAAAATTTATTTTTATGTAGGTACGTACTCTGTTTTTATGTATTGTAAATCTAAATAATTTATCAATAATACAACACATCATTATTTGAATTATCGACGAAATTCAATGTTTTTAATTATTTTAATGTACCAAGATTTTGTCGTATATGACATTATATATCAACAAAAAAAATACTATTAACTGTGTAACATTATTTTTTGTTTTACTGACCAACCAAATTCAACATTGTTTGAACACTGCCATAATATGGAATACATATGGGCATACGTGTAAATTGCGCCATTCATACACATAAAATCCCAAACTAAGAGTCATCTACAGTGTTATCTTCGGTCAATACATGTGCCTAACTATAGAACCACGGACCTTTTACAATCATGAAAAGGCGTCGTGTAAACTTCGCAAGCAGTTCAATACCTGATCAGCTGCTATTCCGATAATAAGAAACTTGTTGAATATTAATTAAGAATAAATTTCCAATATAATTATCAGCTATAGCCATTAGCCACTAGTAGTTCTCATAGGTGTGGTGGGGCCCCGAGGAATGTAGGCGCATCACGCACCCACATTATGTATAGATATTAACAGGAATATAGGTAGTGATATTACTCCGAGACCTGAGCGCAACAAAAAAAAAAAGAAGGGATGACAGTCGGAAGGTTAATAACATAAAAAAATGTATAATCTAGATAGAATATATTATTAGGCATCGTTAAAAAACTGAGAAAAAAATTACTGTGATGGTTTTCACAAAAATGTCAAGTCTTTCGACGGATTAAGCTATCAATAGCAACTGCGATGAAACCAAACTATTACATATACATTAAATCAAACTATAAGTATACGATTATAATATGGAAGCATATTATTATGTCATAATATAGCATAAATTATTGGATTAGGCAATGAATGATTGAAAACCATCTGATTAAAATTCTCAATATCATCCATATTATATTATGTATATTACTTAACTGCTTTTAGGATTACGACGTACAACAACCACTTATCAATGAATACATTATTATATGTAGGTTATTTTAAACACGTACAAGAAACAGATGAAATTAGTAGCTTTTCTTGGACGTGTTTTTAATTGTTTCATAATTTATAGTTAACAGTAAGACTGAAAATTGAATGTCCTATAAAACCTTAAAAAAAAAGAAATTTAAATCCCTAAAAAATGTAGTAAGAATACGACGATCGTGCTACTTATTATTATAATAGCTAAAAAATTAACTTTAAGTGATTAGGAACTACAGATTCAAATCTCTAATTTTATTATTAATTAACCATGTATAAAGCATAATATTATATAAGTTTAGACAGAGGCGCAATTTCAATGAAAAAACTGGGGGTGCTGAAGCCCCCTATTTTTTTCGTCATATTTTCATATGGTTATAGATAGTCAGAGGCTGAAACTCATACAATACCCATTATTATTGGCACTAATATTACTGAGACAGACGACAGTGCAAACTTTAATTTTAGTTTAGAGATTTTATAGGTTTTTACTTACTGGTAGTGGCAGATATTTCTCCATTAGCTTCACAATTGGTCGTTTTTTTATTATATTTATACTTTTCAAATATTGAAAACATTTTGTTATTAGTAAAAGTTTATGACTAAATTACATATAAAACAAAATAATCCAAATGGACAATGGTACTTTCAAATAAACTTATACGAACGTTCACACGTTCACTGTTGTCTATTCGAGCGGTTAATTGTTAATGAATGGAGGGTGGTAATGTGCACTTATGTAGACGACAGGCGCGTATACAGAGGGGGGTTTTGGGTGTTCAACCCTCCCCCCGAATTTTTGTTTTGTGTACTCGCCTAGTAGACGATAAATACAAGCAAATAGCAATTCAAAAACATTGGTTACTGTTATAAATATAATTATTTACTATCATTATCAATGATAAAATTATAATAGTGGCAATAGTGGATTGGGGTTTATCCATAGAGACATAGAGTATTTTGAGTAATATATTTTGTATATTAATACACTAAAATGCAATGAGTAGGACAATTCGAGGAAAAATTTCAAAATTGTATTAAAACCTTCTATTAAGAAATCTACGTTTTACAATGAGCTCAAAAAAATAAATGTTTATATACAAATGCATAGCTCCAGGCTATCCAGGCTTCCATCCGGTCATTTTCTAAAGAGAGTTTTTTAGGGAACTCATTATATGATTAAAATGAGTAAAAATCATATGCACGTTAGTGGAGGTCACGTGTGTCTGAATTAGTTCTATTTATATATAAAAAAAAATCACGAATGCATATTTTATTTTACTAAACGTGATGATTTTTCATTGAACGCGGCCGGCACTGTGTACCCAATAACTGATTTCCGACAATTTTCCGTAATCATAAATAATTAAACAAGTAAATGTACATTTCTGAGTAAAAATTAAATATAAATCTATTTACATAATACATTTAAAACAGTGCATCGCATCATCAATAAAAAAACAGATTTTATAAACCTTCCACACATGAACACCACAATGGACGGGACCATAAAATGTAGCTATCCGAATACTATGTATAGTGAAATATTGTTGTTATATTGACAATAATATAGAATAATATTATATACAGGGTGATTTTTTTATCGAAGAACACTCATTATTTCAAAAAGTATTAATGTTTAAGAAAATATTTTTTTACATAGTTTCAAGTTGTTAAAAAACAATATTTTTATTAAAAAATTATATTTTTAAATATTTTTTATCCTTTTAATTTTTTAAGTTTTTTACTTTTTTGAATGACAACATCTAATTTTAATTTGATATTCAAAAACAGAATATTTTTCTGATTATTTTAATACATAAAAATTGAATTTAGGGCAAGTAGTTTATGAGTTATAAGTATTTAAAGTTAAGATGAGCGGAGTAGTGGACAAACATTTCGCGGGGTAACCCCGTACCACTCTACTCCGCTCATCTAAACTTTAAATACTTATAACTCATAAACTAATTGCCCTAAATTCAATTTTTATGTATCGAAATACTCAGAAAAATATTCTGTTTTTGAATATCAAATTAAAATTAGATGTTGTCATTCAAAAAAGTAAAAAACTTAAAAAATTAAAAGGATAAAAAATATTTAAAAATATAATTTTTAATAAAAATATTGTTTTTTTAACAACTTGAAACTATGTAAAAAAATATTTTCTTAAACATTAATACTTTTTGAAATAATGAGTGTTCTTCGATAAAAAAATCACCCTGTATAGTTTGCAGGTACACTAGTGTAATGTATGTACATATGGACACCATGTGTATAATTGTGGCTGGCAAAACGTGTATGTTGAAGGTATATTATTAAGGTGAAGCTTAAAGAATTTCACATTGTAAATTCGAGATTTTCCGATCGCGTTATCGTGTATATGTTAAGGGCAATGTGGAATACCGGGAAATGTACACATTGCCCAGTCAATGTGTTGCTCCTGCCCTGGCAATGTGAACCACGATTTTTTTTATTAACCAACTAATATTATTTTTTATTTTAATTATAAATTATAATTTTATTATTACCTATTGCCTAGATATAGTAATTTATAGTATTGTTTTTTTTTTTTTAAATGATGATTATTCATTTTATTATAATATTACGAATATTTTACAAAATTTTCAATGCAATTTTACAATAAACTATGACATTTTTGAAACACGGTGTATAAACTTATTTTTGTTATACCTATCGTACTGCCTATTTAAGAACCATGATTTTCCCACATCGGTATGGCCATATCGGAATGATAAAAGTTATAGTAGTCTCGATAAAATCAGTCAACGATATAATATGAACAATAATTGATATTTTCGACTAACTAGTCGAGTTTTTATACTGTACACGACACTATACGTATACTTTGTTACTCTGTACGTGTATCAAAAATAGAATCTAAATTTTACGAAAATTTGAACAAAGTTATCGAACCGAAAAAACTAACAGTAATTTTATTAGTAAATCTAAATATTATGAAATAATTAATTATTTAAAACAACTGAAGCTAGAGAAGAAAATAAATTTAAAATTAATGAAGAAATATGACGTAATGACAGTACTAGGAAATTAATTGTGCCAATAACTGCAGAAGGTAATTGTATACAATTTTATGTTATTATTTTATTAATGAAGAGTTATTTAAAATGAAACACATTTATCTATTGGGCATGGTGGTAGAAATCGAGTGGAATACGAAATAAATAAAAAATTAAAAAATATAACTAGGGAAACAATAACGTCATATTTAAATTTTTTCGAGTCATGTGAGACGGTGAAAAAAGGATTGGTGGTTAAACCAATTATTTCTTCAGAAATGAATTCGAGGTGTCAAATAGACCTTATTGATATGCAAGCGCAACCAGACGGGGATTATAAATTTATATGTGTTTATCAAGACCATTTGACAAAATTTGTCATACTTAGGCCACTAAGACATAAAAGTGCCGAAGTAGTTGCTAATGTTTTATTGGATATATTTACTCTTTTTGAGGCACCCGCTATATTACAAAGCGACAACGGACGTGAATTCGTAAATAAAATAATATCTGAACTTTGTACCACGTTTTAAAAATAGTCCATGTTAAAAGCCAAGACACTCTCAAAGCCAAGGTTAAGTTGAAAGAGCAAACCAAGATGTTGAAAATGTGCTTGCAACATGGCTTCAAGATAATAAAACAAAAAAATGGAGCAATGGCTTAAAATTCGTACAGTTAATGAAAAATCGTGCTTACCACCATGGTACGAAACATACACCATATGAAGCAATGTTTGGTACTCCCCTAAAATTGATTTAACGTCTCTTCAGTACTTCCTGCAAACATGATAGCAAAATTGAAAACTGAAGAAGAAATTCAGGTTGCCTTGGAGTCAATGCAGTTCCTTTCTAGCGACAACGAAAACAATGAAGTGACTACTGAAGTACAAAAAGAAGGTGATGAAGAACAAATAATTGCAAAACAAACAAAAACAAGACAATCATCAATTAATCAAAACAGGAAAGATTCATTTAGCAATCTGAAAATTCAAGTCAAAAAAATTACAGAAATGTCTGAAAAACGATTTTGCCCAGGAAATATTGGAGTTAAAATTCCTGATGTAGATAGAGCAGGGAGTGATCTTAGATGTGTTCTTCTGTCAAGTAATAATTATATTAAATTATATATTATCTCACTATTAACATTTTAAAATACCTATATTTCAGTGAAAGATAACTTCTACGAAATCGGTACGACTGAAGGAAAACTGCAACAACTGTACAGTAGAAACCAATTCACGATTTGTAAAGAAAAATTTGTACAGATCGAAGACGTACCGGCTAATTCAATTTCATTGCGAGAAGCAGTCCGCTCCTTTTCTAACTTAGGAGGACAGGGATATGATCCGTGTACACATGGTTGCAAAACAAATAAATGCAAGTGTAGAAAAGGAGACATACTATGTAATTCGAAGTGTCATGCTTCTAAATCGTGTGCTAAATAGGTAATAATAAAATTATAATTTATAACTAAAATAAAAAATAATATGTTAATAAAAAAAATTGTGGTTCACATTGCCCGGTATTCCACACTGCCCGTAACATATATATTGGCATTTGGTGGTCACATTACTTACCTACTCCATAATATGTCACGGACGTTCATGGTAAACAGTCCGAGTCGTCATGGCGTGCTTTGAAGTTATAATATTATATCGAGTTTAAAAGGGTCTGCAGTCGGTTTGACTACGAAGCCAGTCAAATAATTACAGAGTTCGGACTTATCTAGATAAATATATTTATGTATCTAGATGAATATCTAGACAATTATATGTTCATCTTTTATCTTATCTAGATAAATAGTTACAAGGTATCTAAACGTTCATCTTAAATATTTTTTTTACTAATCTAAATAAATTCAACTAGATACATTTTTTTAATGATAAAAATAGCGAAATTGTACAACGCATTTTAAATATTTGTACAGATTCTGAAAACAAGTATATGGTTTATAAATAATGTATATATTTTTATTTATATCATTATTATTATTATGTTCCTAGTGCCAAATAACATATGTATAAATTTAAAACCCATTTAAAAAAAAATTGTATCTTTTTTTATCTAGATAAATATTAGTTATAGGTTATCTTTTATATCCATCTAGATACATTTGAGTTGCATTATCTTTATCTTTATCTAGATAAAAAAATACTTATCTAATCCGAACACTGCAAATGAATCAATCCAAATTAATGCAATTTTTTTTTTTTAATGAATTGCAAATTAATTTCTAGAATTAGCAAGTCATTTACAAAGCATTAATTTAAGTTTTAAGTTTGGATGTCCAACTTTTCATGAATCCACCACTTTTTCTAATCAATGCCTAACCAAATTCAACAATTGACAAATCAATTGCACAAATTGATAAATTATAGTTTTAAGGCATTTGTACAGGCCCCAACCTACCATTTACGTAGGCAGTTAAAAATCAAATTTTCGAAATTTTTATTTTTTAAAATATTTATACGTTCCTAAATAATTGTTCAAGTGACCTTGAGCTTATTTATTACTGTGACACTAGCAAAAACTATATTTATTTATTCAGGCATTTAAAGACTCCAACAATATTATAATATTATAATATTGGGGAGGGGGCTATACGTTAGGCTAACCGTAATTGGTCTATAAATTAATCGAAATAACGATTTTGATTTGCAAATTTCAAAAGGGTATTGGAACTATTTGCAATTGATTTTCTAAATGTTGATGTTCGTTTAGAATAGATCTGGCAAAGTAGTGGGAGGGACAGGACTTCATGGTTAAACTTATAAGAAGATCTGATTTTTGTCGGGCCACAGCATATTCTCTCGTTGGACAGTGGACAGAGAAGGCATAATGGGTAGGATGGATTTTAATTTTAAAGACAGAATTTGAATTTTTGTGGCATTCACAACATTACTATGTTCTTAACCGACGTGGTTTTTAATAATATTCGTTTTTTTTACAGAAATATATCAATGACCGCTAATTTATAATTCTGTAGTAGGTATTTTTATATTTTACTTTTTGTACCTATTATAAATAACAACATAAATAGTTTTGGGAATATTAATAACCAATTAAATTATAATATAGTGAATTATTGTTTTTGAACCAAAATCTGTTTTAAAAATTAAAATAAATTAAACAATCCTGCAGTTTTTTCTAAATCTATCAATATTCTTTAACAGACATCAAATACCCCGAAGCGTATTTTTTTTTGTTTTTTAACAAACTCAGTATTTCAATAAATGCGAAATTCGAAATTCCCAGTAAAACATTGATGTAAGCAATTTAATAACAAACTGCATATTTTATACAACGATTTCCTAACAAGCATTATTTTTTATAGCATATTATTTTAACTATAGTTGTTTACATCTTAATACATTAAACTAGATAGAGTTTTTCATTGATCATCTATATCGGTATTATTATAAATATATTTTAGGTCGTTGGTGATTATTTGAAATAATTATTTAAAAGTACCAATATTAGAACTTGCCTCAAAACATTTCATTTTTTATATGTTATATTTTAGACCAAGCCGGTCATGCAAGTATTCATAGTTATTATGGCGCGTAACAACATAAATATAAATATATTTACTTTATTTGTTCCAAAAGATTTAATAAAAATATAATTTTAAACATGTCATCATGAATAATGAATAGGTACGACAAGTTAAATAACTTTTTATTAAACGATACATATCCAGCTTACAAACTTTACGTAGGTATAATGTCTATAACATGAATATTATGAAATACAATTATTTAAATTTATAAACATAATATTATGTATTTAGTTCTTAAAATATGAATGTAAGTAAGGGAGGTAGTTTATATACTACAATATTGTACTATATCAAAGTTGAAGCCATATTTAAAAGACAATATTAAAATTGAATTCGTAAATTGTGTGGTGTTTTAGTTATTCTCAAAAATTTAACACAATGATGTCCTTCCAATTTTATTTATCCATCAAAAATTAACTCACTATACTTTAAACATTATTGTATTTTCATATGTTATCAAATATTAATATTATTTTTAATCTTGCATCAATATGTACCTATATAGTCTATACTAAACATTGGACGAGTATTCATTTTAATAATTGAGTAGATATGTTTATTTATTATATTTTTATCATAGTTAGTATTTATTACTAATAATTAATTAAAATATTATAATTATTTACAGTTTTAACAAGGTATCGTAATGATTGATTATATTGTATGATAGTCACGACTTATGAATAATAAATGCTATAGGTAATATATATAAATTGGGTCCCAAACCCCATTTATATATACATATATATATTATTGTATACACATGTATTTATATTCAACAACCGCAAAATTAACCCCTGCGATGTCACCACCATAGTCAACACTCGACAGAGCCTCAGTAACAGTCATAATATAAATCTTAATTTATTCATCTGATTCTTAATTTCGTTTCTGAATTTGTAATTACTTTAAACGGGGATACAACAAATACTGGAACGAATACACCCCACAATGTCAATATGAATTCCAATCTACCGTGTAACAAAAGTACAAAACCGTAATAAATTATCTAGTGACCACGTTGCTGTATACGAATACGAACACGTAGATGTATAAAACGCGGTTAACCTTTGATTGGTGTATTATTTAGCGAATGCCGAAAATGACTAAAATGCACTAAAATGACCGGTCTTGCGGCCAGCCGAACAGGACGCGAATGGAGGATAGTATCTACGTCAGAAAGTTTAGTCAGTGACGTTAGTTGTATATAATAGACATTCACTCATCAAAGTAGCGATCTGACGAGGCACTTGTGGATGAAGGAGCCACCGCTTATCACGGACTTGACGTAAGATGTTACGATACTGTCGGTCCGGCGAGTGATGGTGACAATAATGATAATACCTATACCGGTACTTTTGTTTATTCCTAACATTATATCTATATATTAATATGTTCATTCGATACTCGAGAGTAATAATTATTATTGTATTAAAAATATTGTCAAATTAATAGAGTTAGGAGGCTAAAAAAAAAAAAATACTTAATAAAAATCAAATTATCCAGATGATGATACTTCAATATCATTCCAAAATTTGTTCACATTAATATTTTTTTTTCGAGTTAAAATATTTAATAACACTTGTATATGATATCAACTGTCACATAGAATTTCCATAATAAATTTTCTCGTACGTATAATAATTTAAGGTATATAGTTAGTTTATATGTATATTAATTTATATTTTCTTTGTAATTTATTACATTGTGATGTATAATCCACGATCATGTTCGTGGAGCCGGCCCATGTGGCCTCGAAAAAATAAATTAACAATTGACAATTTTTATACATTAAGGGCCGTATTCATAGTCGATGCTTAAGATTTTGGCTTAGAAAAAGAAAAGGTATTACTTGTTTTTAAGGTTGATCGAGACCTACCTTAAGCATTGCTTTTAGTTATTATCTCAATTTTTTTATTTTTTAAACCATCAAAATTAGCTTATGCAATACTTATTCTTAAGCATTGAATATGAATACGGCTCTAAGTATTATATATATAGTTTTCGACAAAATAAGATTATTTACCTCCAACCACACGGCACACCAATGTAACAGTTTGACTGCCTTCATCGACAACAATCACATTTCCGGAATTTTGTTGGTAATTTTCTGGACGATCTCCTCCAATAGAATTTCCATATTCAAAATAAATGGTTGGTCGTTCGGGAGCGACTGTAATACATAATAAATAATTAAATATGTTAAATATGTTCTTAATAAATATTTGTTTTTAAGGAAACCAATACAAAAATGTTATTTTATAAACTATTTCAATAAGTACAAATAATTTGGTAAATTTAAAAAGTTCCATGGGTTTACGGTTCTTATTAAAAAATACTCATTATTAAAATACTTAAATAAAGATCTCACTGTACCTACTTGGAATTTAAAACAAAAAAAATTTAAATAATTTAATTAAACTTGCATTTTTAGTAGAAATAAGATACTTGATAGACATTTTTTTAGGAAACAGAAAGGTCCATCTGCGTACCAATGAAACGAGATCCGTATAGACGTAGGTATTATAAATGTTATTTTTTTTATTTGTTTTATAAATAGGTCTTGTGATGTTATTTACAATGATGAGTGATTAATTTCAGATATTCAAATATAATCTTCCTTAAGCTTAAAAACCATTAGTAATAGTACCTAGATATGAAAGTACCTAACACAATCATTCAACGGAAACTTATTGGGCTAAATTAATAACAAATGAGCCTTTCCTACTCACATGTAAATATGTAATCAACCAAAGTCTGTCAATACCTGTTTGATTTTGATTAATTATAATTTATTAGTGAACCCAGCCAGGTACCTAGCTACTATATTAATGTACATTATGTTAAGTACAAACTTAATATTATTATCTATAGGTATTGTATGAAGCACTAACTTTCATATTTTGCTTAAACTATGATTTATGAATGATTCGTATTTAAAAATGCAGTAATTAGTGCGTTTAATGACTTGTAAGCTTGTAAAGTATCTGGCCGGGACTTCGACCCCCTTCCCTAAACCCAAGTATGCCAATGACAGATGTTCCCTTAAAACTTTAGCAACAAACGATACAACATGAAGAGCGTTGAGCCCTTAAAAGTAATTATTTTCATCAGACATAAGTTTACATAAAACAGATTATTACTTTCTCATATCCATCCTAATTTTTAAATTGGAGAGTACTACAATCAATTATGTATATAACAATTTACTTGCAAGAAAATATTTACATCTATATAATTTTACTTCATATTTTAGATTCTAAGTTTAGATAAGAAACTATGTAAGTATCGGTTTTACAATGATGATTTTTTTTTGTTTGCAAACAGTTTATCGAAAAGAAGTCTCTTCTAAAAGTTTCGTTCTATAATGACTCTATCGATTGCAAATCGGCCACAGATTGTACTTAAAAAGGTATTTTGGAGCTTCTTTAGTAGTTGTCAAGAGAAAATTATTATACGGCTCCCAAGAAACTGAAAAAAAAATATAAATATAATATAACTTTCAACAATACCTTATTTATAGGTACCAGTTTTGCCTTTCGGTTATTTTTTAACAATTTGGCTGATAATAAAACATTGAGATAATCGTTTATTAATTTTAAAACCAAATATAGAGATAATTTAATAATGTACTTATCAAATTTTAAAATTTATTTAATTTCATAAAGAAAGAAATTACTCTTATAAAATCAATTAATCTTTTTTTAGTACTCGTAAGGGTGTAAATATTAATTTTAGATTGAAATTTAAATTTAATCCAAACTATAAGCGTTATCTATATGGTGTGTGGGCATAAGCTAGTCATATTAATATTTTCTTGTGTTTCTATACATTTCTTTTTATGTTTTTTTTCCTATTAGCTTAGAGTAAATGAGTTTTAAAAGTTACATCCAAACCGTACTTTTATTTCTCTTCATATGCGTGCCAAAGCTTATATTATTATTATTGGATTATTTTCTATTTTATTTCAGGGAATTTCGAGGACAGTCGCAGTTGAATTATAATATTAATTAAAGTAATTAAAAATAAAAATAGTATGTTTGTTTGATTTATCTCTTTAAAATTACCTATGACTGTTAGGTTAACTAGTCTGTTCCTGGTGGGAGCTTGCAGGAAGTCAATTCTGCATCTATATATTCCAGTATCGGTGGCCATAGCTCTATCCACTGTCAGATTATCTACTGTATCTTGTTCACGCTGTAGTTGTTCATTGTTGACTGTGTGAAAGTATGCACGGTCACCAAATCCCATTGGCGAAGACCACCATCTCGGTGGATTCGGAACTTTTGCAGATGTCTGTCTTGTATCATACCTGCGTGTAAAAACAAAAATAATAAACATTGTGACCAAATAGTTATAAAATTAATACACTATAATACACGAGTTTAAAAACGCGGTGTCCTGTCAAAACAATATTATAATAAACCACTCCAACTGTTTTTTTACTATCGCAAATAAATTAATAAATATTTTAGTCAGTTATTATTATATCATATATTACTATACAATAAATATGGTTAACGAATAATGGATAATACGACAGTTGATAAGTAAGACATAAATACTTAAATAACAAATTCAGATATTTGCTACACCTACCTAGTAAATAGCCATTTAACCTATACTTCCAAGCTTATTGAACCAAGTTATAGGTTGTATACGGTTTTTTGTTACTTATACAGTTATAATAATAGTTATAATGCAACTTCAAATTACGAAATACTAACGATATCATACTTAAATTAATAGGTATATAGTATAATATTAGAAAAACAATTTAGTCAGTCGATCGTGCATTTTACACAATTTATAGTTTCATTTGCATAATAAAACGTTTGATTTAAGTATTTACGCCTATTAAGAGGACGCCACACCTGCACGAATGAGTTGTCCTTACAAACGTATATTATAGGTTTATAACATAACCCTTTTTCGTTAAAGAAAACGAATAGCCATGCCAACCATTAGCATTAGAGTGAATTAACCTATTATCAAAATTAAAGGTGAAATTATTATCTGTGTTTTTAAGTTGAATTTTTAAGGTATTTCGATTTTTAGAGTTAGAGTACCCATGTAAAATATTACAATATAAAAATGCTAATAATTATGGTTACAAAATTGAAATATCGTAAAAATACAATGCACAAAGTACAAACACAGATGCCCTTACTTTAAAGTTTTAAATTTACTCTTGTATAAAATCTAACAAAACAAAATTATTGGTTCTGTTGAACGCAAATTATCTATATGTATTGTATACATTTGTCAGATGGAGACAACGCAGCCTCTTAAGGGTTAGTCAAATTATTTGTCTTTTATTATTTAAATTAGAGAAAACACACCATTTTACATAATACATCCATAGATGTGATTTAAATATTTACTAGCTATACGAATTCAATAATTAACTTTATCATAGTTTTTATTACAGACATAATAAAAGATATTAAGTTAGTTTGTTACTTAGGTATCTATGAAAATAAAAATATCTAGAGATTTCAATTATGAGACACAATATATTTTATTTTTATTTTGTAATTAAATTTTTTCTAAGAACTTTAACAATACAAAAGTAATTTTAATTTTCTAAATTTAAATGTACCAACTATTATTATGGTTTGACAGTTATAATTTAAAAATATTTACAGCTTAAATTTAAGCCCGACATTACATACAATAATTTCGGGTTAAGCATTAGGTATATCTACATACGACCTACCTAAGAGCATAATACAAATATATAATGTGCTCTTATTCATATAAAAATTTAGATCTTTGTATTTTCAAAGTATAGTTTGATATTCAGCAGATAAGTATTAAGCATTATACACTATAAGTATGTAGACTTAAGAATATATGTATGCATAAACATTGTCTAAATATAAAAAATCCTCCAGAGTTTTATATTTGTAAAAGTTTATACTATATTTTATTTATCTTAATGTCCAGGTATAACTTATATAGATTAAAATTAAACTATACTATTATCATAAAACAAATAATATAAATGTATAATATACTTTATACCTACATTCCAAATCTTAATAAACTGCCATAAAATAAAATGATTTTAAAATTATCCACTCTTAGTTTTAATTCAATAGGTGGATAATTAATAATTACGCTCTTATGATATTGGGCTTATTGCGATATTTCGTTTCATATGTAAGTTACGTTACAAACTTATTATACTATATACAATATATACTAATTTATCTAGTGCTGTTATATATATTTTAAAACAGATTAGAATTTCGAATATTATTTAAGATTGACTTTTCCAAAACATTAAGACTGAATTGTCTGAATTGAAAAACGTTTTGAGCAGTTCCTCAAAATCATCATAAGTGAAATATAATTATAATCCGATAATCTAAGCAAATATTATTTCAATGATTTTCCCAGATATCTTTATATTGTTTACAATTACCTAGGTATACATATATATATATATATTAGCTCTCACCATATATAACATATGTAGGTACCTACCCAAACAATAGCCTAACACAGTCGAGTTATACATTTTGACGATGTAATTCAAACATTTGGAAGATTGGGGAGTAGATGTAAGTACTTGGCTGTTCCTGAGAATAGTATTTTCAATAAAGCGTAGATTTGCTCATGGTTTCGTAATTGGTAGTTTATATGTAAAGTACCGGATTGTAGGAATTTAAATACAATATAAAATAATAATTGGATATGTTCGAAAAGTCCCTTTTATATTTTGACAGAAAAAAAAACAGTGAATGAAAATTATTTAGTACTTGCCTATCTTGATCTTTGATAAAAAAGACGATGGTCAACGCTTATATAACAGGACAATTAATATACCCACTTAGCACACAATTTTTCAAATAAATTAAGATTTTTTTGTTTAAATTAAACAAACTGTGTATGAAACAATGGAAGACGAAAGGAAAAAGTATAACAATTATACCTAGTCATGGTTTTATTTTTACTTAATGTTAGTTATGGTGTTGGACATATGGTTTTATAACCGCATTTTAGATGAAAAATAAACGACTGAACACTATTGTATTTTATTCATTAACTATCGCCACCATTACTCAACCCTTTTATATATATATGTATAAAAAAAACTCATACGGTTTTATTTTATTTTTCACAATACACTACTTTTGAAATAATAATAGTAATGAAAAATTCGAATTTTTACAAGCGGTCAAAAATCTTGCATGGGACAGGAAAATGGAGCAAGGCGGTGGGTGAAAAGAATAGCAAAAAAAAAATAAAACCCTTGTACACATACGATTATTGTTTGTCCCTATCACGTTATTGTTTTGTATGTTTTTAACTCGATTATGTTCAGAGAATAAAAATATTGTATTCCTGGCTAAAATTCAATAAACGAACTTAACCGTTCCAACGTTATCAATGACAAAAAATAAAACAATACCAATTCATCAAACATGAGTAAATATGAAAACCGAGTCATTCGAATAAATATAGTATTAATTGTAACATGCTGTGTCATAACTCATAAATAACAAATGATTATAATATTTATAACGAATTGGTCAGGTAGTAGTTATTATTGTTGTTGGTTATAATTAAATTCGTATTACAGTAGGATATCTTACAATCTAAACATAATAATATTACCACCAAAGATACAATCACGAAGTGTATTAACAAAGTTGATTCAAAAATATTCCAGTAAAAATCAGTGGTAGAAATTTCATGATTATATTAAATAAAAACCCATGGAAATATTTTAATTTATAACTCATAGATATCTCATAGTTTCGTGACTAAGTATTATTAGCTTTAGATTTAAACTTTTCATTTCGCGTATTTATCATTAGTACATAAATAAACTGATATGAATGTATTGAAAGCGTGTCAACAGATAGCAATCATTGATCGCAACTAAATAACAAAATGATAGTGAAAAACGATCTGATGCAAGTTGCTTATAGTACTCACGAGTCTTAACTATTTAACAGTTATTTAGAAACTATTCGTTTAACGAAAAAAAATGAGTTTAAAAATATAAAAAAAAAGATGAAATTAGGTGATAAAAACATTTCATGTACACAAAGAAAAAGATAAAATATAAAATGAGTATCGAAACACTAAATTACATACAATTAAATTATAAGCTATATAATTTTTTTCGTGTCAATCAATAATATTATTTGCATACTATTACAGAGAGAGACCGAAAACAGATTATCAACAGCCACTGTTGAATAATGATTAGCATAATTCATTTTTTTTAATGTGTTGAATGTCCATTGTTTAATACTATTTTCAAAATTTGACGGCGATTAAAGTCAAACCAAAGTAAATTAACCAATTTATATAATAATGACTTAAAGTCTAATAACAAAATATTATATATTTTTTAACGTTCAGCAATGATAATTTAGAATTTAAGAATTTGTTTTAGAATGATGACTTACACAATTTACTTACTTTCACATTAAACATACTTTTTTAATATTTTAAAAAATAACACTGTACAATAAAATCTACCTTAGTAAAATAGTTAAATGTATAATTTATAGTAAAAAAAACTGTACCTATTAAAATTCAGAAAACTATTTACTTCAATAAAAAAAAAATGTAGGTACAATATGCAACTAAATAATGGCTTTGTAGTTGAAATGAATAAAGAATATGAAAAAAAATAATTTAGGTTAGGCAATTTATTTTTGTCAAGTTGTAAAGTTGTAAGTGTAAAATACAATCACGGATATCAGTTAGTGGTTTTTATTAATTAGGTAATGAGAGTAAGAAATATTTTTAATTGATAATATGAAGAATACATTTTTTCGGTTTTGGTAATATTGATAATAATGATTACCTTTAGTTTCAAAAAAAAACTTCCAAAGCATAAATCCGTATACCTATTGGAGGACGTATTCTACTATTCAAAATTCAAAATTAAATTGTCTGTAGCCCATCCACTCTTCCTAAGAGGAAAATCGTGATTACAAGGGATAAGTTATGTACCAACTCCTATATTATATTCCTACCAACTCTATAGCTTTAGACTCTGTACTAAAATAATTTATAGTCAACTACACTCAACACACCATTACTGACTCATAGCCATAATGTATTATATGCATATATATAAATTAAGGCAGTAGGTATCCATAATAGATTGTAGAATTCAAATCGGTATAAAAAAACAATAATAATTCCGTAAAATACTGTCAGGATGATAATATTTTTATTGACTTCATTCACAAATCTATAGGAAAGTATTATTTTCTATTTTTCTGAATATGTTTCTCACGACATATTTCAATATTTTAAATATTTTTATATTAATTATATATATATTGCAGCGTAAGTATAATATGTAA